GCAACTTTAAGGCAGCAGAACAAGCTGAAAACATGACGGTGAGATTTTATGACCTCATGCAGCTGCCTATTCATCCAGCAGACGTGGAGCTAAATCATTATGCATCTGGAGTTGTGTTTTTGGCAACTCTACTGCCTACCCGATATTCACTCACTTTTGACCTCTGTTTTGCACGTCAGTAACTCCTGAGAAAAACAGTTTATCTCATTTCCTGCAAAACGGTTTCTTGCATGGTCTAGTTGTAGTGCACGACTCTTATCTGAGCTTTTCTGCTGAAAACAGCTGCTGCCTGCTGTTTTGTGAGCAAAGTTTCAGGACAGGAAACTAAAATAATGAGCTAAAAATGAAAAGACGAGTGGTACTAAGGAGGACGGCAATGATTTTCTGTTAGTTTTTCCCCAGAAATGTTCTTTCCTACAGGTGTGCAAATACATGCCAGATTTCTTTTGCTTAGAGCCAACCAGCTTCATTTGCTTCTTTGCTGTGCTCGTGAATGAGAGCAGAGTGGGAACACTTGGCATCAAAACTGACATGGTGCTTTAGACCTTCTGGCTCTATGCCTGGCAGTGTTTTGGAGTTTCAGGTTATGACTATTGATAATAGATGAAACACACTTTGGAGGGAGGTTTCGCCACATTACACCATATCGTAGTAGTCATTCATTTGGCTCCTGTGCAGACATTTGGCTTTCCCTCTTAATTTTGTGGGAATTTATCAGAATAAGTAACAGGATGTGAATTTAAAACATTAATCACTCCTTGTTTACTGACTTTCATTCCCATTAAGGACCTCATGACAAGCACTGAGCTTCACAAACAGATGATGGATAATAACCGCCTCTTAATGTCTTTCTTGACTGTGTAGCTTTTCTCTGCCTCCTCCCACTCCATAAACAGCAGTAAACATACTGTTTTCTCAGCATTGCTAAGTGGTTGATTTATAGTCATCCGCCTTAGACTAAAATTACATGTTATTTCATCCAATTACACGTTTTTTATGTATCACATCTCTGTTGCTGGACAGTCTGTGCCTCCTCCTTGTTTGCACGGATTAGTTTCCGTGTTGTGGTTGATACTGCATGAATCATATTTGCCATTTTTTCATATAAATTGCATTCATCGACACGGGATGTGATGCCTTGCCTTCTTGAATTAAAAAATAAAGTGTTCATCCTTTCCTCTAAACACAAGTCTAGCATTTTTTTTCTTTTTCTTATTGTCTGAAAATCCCTGGATGACACCAAAGCCCACACAAACTGTGCTCTGTTGAGCATTTACGACAGCAGGATGGCGCATGAGGACTCAAAATAAACACAGTGGCGTTGTTTGTTTGTGAAGAAAGAACATCACCCAGTGTAATAAAAAGACTCATTTATGCACTTTAAATAGTTTATGCACAACAAAATAAGAATAAGCTTTTGTCAGCACTGACGCATGTTGGGCTTATGCACTATGCGTTGTTCCTGCTGGTAGACTGTCCGGAGCTGGGTAAGCACGCTGTTGCTGTTTCTGATTATATTACTGAGAGGAGGAAATCAATGGAGCCAAATGTTCTCCAATACTTATGAGCTTCTATCTGTCCAGGTTTTGAATGCACGTTTGAATTTCTGCAAAAATAGGTGCAAATGAGGAAAAGAGGCGCATGGAAAGCTGCACAGGATGTAAGTGGTCCTGAAACACTGTGCCGGTCTCAGAGTTGGTTCTGATGGAAAAGTGACATGAATGCAGGTGGTGGGTACTTAAAGGGGAAAGAATCCTAAACCTAACCCTATGTTTTCCAATCACACTTTTTGTCAGTTAGAATTATTTTGTTTTTCTTTGTCCTTTGATTTAGGGTCAGGCTGAGCACCGATGATGAACACGCTGTAGATTTTACCATCGCACAGCTCCAAGCAGCTCTGTGATCTTAACAAAGACTAAATATACACTCACTGGCCACTTCTCGATAGCGCAAACATCCATTCTGCACTTCACACGGTAGCAGCTAAATGCATGTAGGCATGCAGAGAAGATCAAGTAGATCTGCTGAAGTTGAAAAAGAAACAAAATTGTGATTTAAGTGACTTTGTGGCATGGTTGGCGCCCGCTGGTCTGAGTATTTCAGAATCTGCTGATCTATTGCAATTTTCCCACACAAGCATCTCTAGGATTTACAGAGAATGGTGTGAAAAGAGAGAGAAAATATCCAATCATACTCTTTTGATGGCCAGTTCCAGTTTACATGGCCAACATATGACTGAGGAGTACACTGACAAAAGGTTAGTGTTTGTATTGTGTCTGTCCAATGGATGTTGGTTTATGGAAAAGGGTACAGAAATATTTCTGCAGCACTAAAGGAGCACGGTGACCTCCATCATGTGTAAATTGAAGTTGTTTAGAACCACCAGAACTCTTTTAGAGCTGGCCAACTGGCAAATCTGAGCAAACGGCATAGAAGGGAGGTGACTATGATCACTCTGACAGAGCTTCATAATTTCTCTGTGGAGAGAAGGACAACCATTTCTGCAGCACTCGACCAATTAGGCCTGTATGACAGAGTGGACAGATGGAAGCCACTCCTCAGTAAGAGGCACATGACAGCCGGCTTGGAGTTTGCCAAGAGGCACCAGGAGGGTTCTCAGACCATCCAAAATATTGAACTCTTTGGCCTGAATGTCGAGCATCATGTTTGGGGAAAACCAGGCAGTGCCCATCGTTTGGTCGAAATCATTGTTACAGTGAAGCATGGTGGTCACAGTATCATGCTGTGGGGATGTTTTTCGGCAGCAGGAAATGAAAGATGAATGCACATAAACATCCTTGATAATAGCCTGCTCTAGGCTTAACCTCAGACTGGGGATCACTACCTTGAATGGCTCAGTTAGAGCCCAGACTTGAATACAACTGAACATTTTTAGAGAGATCTGGAAATGGCTGTGAATGCATGCACCCCATCTGACCTGATGGAGCTTGAAAGTTTCTGCAAAGAGGAACAAACTGCCCCGAAATAGGTGTTGCTAATTCTTTAGGACCATACGCAAAGAGACACAAAAAGGCTTTAACATCTGCGAAAGGTCCTTCAACAAAGTAGTGATCAGAGGCTATGAATGTGTTGGATGTTATATTTTGTTTTTTTATTTTAACATCTAGTCCTTTTAACTGCATTAACTGAATTTGCAAGATTTACTTTATCATTATGGGATATTGTGTGTAGATTTCTGAAGTGAAAATGAATTGAATCCATTTTGGAATAAGGCTATAACATGACAAAATGTGGAAGCGAGAAGCACTGAATACTTTCTGTATGCACTGTTAACATTGGTGAATTGGTAATAAGTAAATGGAGTTTCCCTTAGGATGACACCAATACCAGTTCACATAGCACTTTCTAGTCACCAGAGAAGCCAAGAGAACATATATGATGACTACGCACATCTATACTGGTACATCACAGAACAATACTTATATTACCTCCATGAGTAAAAATCCTCAACATCCAACTGTGGCTTTGCATCTAAAACCTGCAGGACATCGGCACTCAAGGCCTGGAGTCGTCCATCCCTGCTTTACATGAATGAACCATTGAAACGAAATGATTGGCTGAACTTCAGCTCTGCTTTAAATATTCTTGGAGCCTCACCTTCATCATGAGTTGTCCATTCAGGGGATTGCTTGGCAATTTGGGTCTCGAGGGCTAGTTTGGCATTTCTTCATCTCCAGCGGTCAGGCCCTACTTGGTAATTCTGCCTTGCTGCCATCTGCCCTTTAAGTCACACAGATAATGTGAAGAACTTGGAAAAACTGATGCCATGTACTTTATCGTAATGCTAAAGTGTCTTGATGCCATGGAAATACGTTAACATCACCAGTGCAATCCTTATTTCATGCAGAGAGAGCTAGAGCTTACAGATCTTAATATTTCTCTGACCTCTTATTTTAGGTAGAGCCAAATTAGTTTATTTTCCCTGGCAGATCATTAATCTCCCTAATCTAAATTAATAAATGCTGTGGTGTTGGGGATAAAGGGAGAGTCAGAGACGAAGAGCGGTTGAACTTCAGAGACTGTTTATTTAAACTTGAATTCATTTACAGCAGTTCCACTGGGGAGGAAAAGGGTCTGAATGACATCCTAGCCACATTAAAACCTATGGTCCTATCTACTGTATGTACAGGGAGGAGGATGCAGCTCGACAGTGCAGAAGGCACAGAGTTGGCTTAATATTTGCCTGTAAGCGCTGCTAACATGACAAAAAGGATGACAGAGAGGAGGAAGGGCACCTTTTATTGGAGTCATGTTATAGCAAAAAAAAAACACAAAACACTGGTATGGTAGCTTGAAACTGCCAACAGCACAGATGAAACAAATTAAAATGAATGTAGGCGTCGTTTAGTTAAATGTGCTGATTTGTTTAAATGTTTTTGTCATTTTGTATTCTTTGAATTAATTTCACTTTTTTTGCTTTTCCTTGTATATTATTTGTATTTTTCATTTGCCACCTGTTTCATAATTTACTTTTTTATTTTTAGTCATTTTTTGCTTTAATATACATCTGAAGGAGTCATACAGTGCGTGTTACTAGGTAAACTTTCTGCACAAACAGCTCCCTCCAATCAGGCAGCATCTAGATGTGACAAAGCCGCGGAAACTGGTTGGCAAAGGCATGTCAACCGTCCAGTCGCTAGGGAAAAATTTGCATTCCCTAACTGGTTGGCAAGTGGTTGCTGGCAACCAGGAGGTACAATTGATTGCAAACTCCACTGAAAACCTTTCAATTGCTTGAGTTGCTTTACCGCTGCAACCTGTTGTGGTTGGTAAGAAACCCAGTAGTAAGGTGGCACGTTTGCATCTTCCCTCTAAGATATGGGCAACTGTGGCAATCTATTAGGGTGCAAAGCAATCGCAAGGTTTGTAATGCAGCACCGCATAAGTCTTTGCAACCAATTTCATCTCAAATTTCCTTGTTTTTTTTCTCAGCAAACTGCATGACTAAGACCTTCTTTCACTGAGCTTTGTGTTTTTTGGGCAGTTTCAGTCCTCCATACACAGCGACATGGTGCAACTTAAGGTGAATATGGCGCAACTGTTTTCACGTCATTAGTGATATAGTGGAGTAATTTGAAAACTACAACAGCAAGCATCTGCTCCTTTAAAATCCTTTAAATGTACACTTCACAATAGTTAAGATTTGCTTTAGTTTTTCCTGTGCGATTTACAATATGTGATAGATGAAGCAAAGACAATGTTAAGGCATTTTTTGCAGTCAGAGATGCAAATTTAACCCAAGGGAGGGGGGTGAAAATCGCAGAGAAAAGGATATGAAGCAGGTAAATGCAAGTGATACGTGTTAAGACAGCTTCATTCACAACTTCAAGTTCCTTTAAATCAATCCCGGCTACCCATCCATACCCAAACAGACCAATAAGAGCTGCCAGATCTTCCAAAAGAAGAAAACAAAAAAACAAAAGCAGGTGGGAGCACAATAGATGGATGAGAGAACGCAACAGATCCATGCTCATCATCTGAACAATAGAATTAGGAAGACTTTTTCTAGCATCATTTTCTGTGTGTATGTTTGGGGGGTATCGTAACCATTACAACCAAAACCAGTCATTCACTGACATACACACGAAAAACGCAAATGTTAAGTACAGCGTTTCATACAACAACATGACGGGAAAACCTTACACTATGAAAACCAATCAAAACAAACAACACAATTCAAGTAAAGCCTCCCAAACTGAAAAAAAAAAAATTATATATTTATATAACATATTTTGAATCACTTGGAATTCTTGCATCTCAGATTTAGATTACGCTGCTTATAAAAACAGTACATTCAACAGGTACATCAATTATGGAGCAAAAATATAGCAGAGGTAAGTTAAATGTATCGGTAAATGCTATTGAAAAGGAAACAAAATACGTAATTACAAACAGGCAATCTTTACTTCTGTAGGAAGGTTTTTACTCAATTCTCTGGACACAGACCAATGCAACAAACCAGCAGACATACAGCATTGTCTTTTTGTTTTTGCAGATCTAATATGTGCTGCTCTCAGAGAGAAACGCAAACAAACAGCAACAGATTGAAAGTTTTGCAGGTGGAAGTCGGGGGAGGTGACTTGTTTTGTCTCTGCAACAGAATCCTTTTCAAAAATCAGACGCTCGGAAACGAGATTTCAGAGAATTGCAGTCTGCAGCTACACTTCATCCAAAACTCACTCTCATACATTCACACACAAAATGAGTCTTTGCACAGTTTCATGTCATTCAAAATAATACAAATGTTAGTTTAATAATTAATATATAATAAATGGATAAATATGATAATGGTATTCTCACTGCTGCTCAGAAGTTTGCCCTTGTTTTTTGAAAGAAAAGTACATTCGTATTCGCTACAGTTCTTAATAGTGAAATGTTGCAATAGTCCCTCTGTTCTGATGGTATAATGTATTCTCAAATGAAAGTATGTTCTGGTAAAACGCAAATTGTTTGTTATACATTACATCCAAAAACCAGTATTATCATTAAAGAAGCAACACACTTGGCTAGTAGAGTGCTTTGGATGCCTCCTTAAAAAACACAATTTTATTGTGAAACTCAGTGTTCCTGTTTTATGAACAGGAAGAACATGGGTGTTTACTACTCCCTTCAGAGACCAGCAGCACCTCGCTCTTACAAAAGCACATTTAATGAAACTGCCACTTCAGCGTTTCTCAAACTCTGATGCACTCAGTGGTGGACCAACTCCTCCTACTTCTTTCTCTTCTGCTTGGAGGCATTTTAAGTTGTCCTCTAGGGGGAGTAGTGCACACTGTCGTATGAAAGAGGAGTCAGCAACCTTCGTTAACCACTGGCTAACAGAGAAAAACGTGTATTCTTTTATTGGTTATCAAATGATTGCCCGAGGCTGCCTGTCATTGGGTGAAACTGCACCAAGGTATACAGTGCAACACCAAAAACTACCTTGCTGGTTGCAAGCAGAGTCAAAGAATTGCCTGTAGTTTGCATGGAGAACAACAACGTGTCTGTAAACACTTGCCAACTAACTGCCAAATGGTAGTGAAACCGAACAGTATGATGCAAACTGAAAATGGAAACAGTCCACCGTCAAACTAAAAGCTGCACCTTGTGAAATCTCCCTACTTCATGTAAGCTATAGCAGACCAAAGTGATCTGCCAGGTTCTGGTGCAGCACTCCCTTTGCGATCAATTTCACCGATCATCAGCCAGCAACCTCCTGAAACCACTTGCCAACCAGTCAGAGTACACATTTTTCAGTCACTATAACTCTGCGACTGATGCCTTACATATAATAGAAACGTCAAACTTTTACCATGATTAACTTGCATTTGTTAATATATGGAGTCCCAAGAGCACAGGAGTAATGGATGCTGAAATTGGGCTTCTGAACACCTACATTGGTTATTAATAACTTGTCATTTTAATACACCTAAGGATTCACTAAATGATTTACAGTATTTTTTATCATTTCACATTATATTAGATGAAAACTTTTCTTTAAAACAAACAAGGATGGTTATTGTAAACTTCTGAGCAGCAGAATTAATTATCATATTTATTTTTTACATGGAGGCCAATTAGTTTATTTACATGAAAAGAAATAATCACAGGAGATAATAACAAAATGTGCAAGACATCCAAAGGTGCACTATCTATGAAAACACTTTAACATGTGCAACTCATATAATTTATCATTTCAAAAAGGTGACGTAACTAAAGTGTCTAATATAAAGTAACTCAAGGGTCACCCGACATTTACAATAACAGGACAAAGAGCACAAGCTTGATTTCAAACCACAGGCTCATCATACCAGAACAAATAAAATGTGATATTTGGCTGTGGAAGAAAGGGGCGGAGAGTTAATGTGGGGAAAGGGACAAAAGTGATGACCCACGCCTATTTTCAAGCAAGCAAGTCCACCGTAGGTAAGGCAAGATCAAATGTTCTGTATCTCCTGGGTGCGACAGAGAGGACTGGATCAAACACCAAAACTGCTGCACAGTGACTGGCAGCAAATTAAATTCAAGAGGCAGGTGAGTGAAGAAGCAACTGACAGAGGAAAGCATAAGGCCAAAAAAGAAGAAGAAAAGAATATGTGACAAATTTCAACAACAAACAACAGGAAGTTCTGGTAATTCTTTAACTGCTAATCAAAAGCAGTTCGTAAAAGGAAGATGTGAAATTCTTAAATCACTTAAATGTCACTTAGATGTCTAAATGGACTTTAAAGAACCCGATTCTAACTAGAATTTTAATTAAACCATCAAATTTGGTGCAGAGAAAAGTACTACTTTATTCCATTCCTCGCTTAAGCTGCTATGGTGAGCGCACGCTGAGGATTTAATCATTATTTACCTGCTTTTCTGTTTCCTTAAACATGTTCCAAGTGATTAAACATCACGCTTTGTTATCAGGGCGACAAAACCACTTTGACCTTAAGATATCTAAACATTTACCACTTTGATAAAACACTTCTGTCTATCGTGCTTCATAAGGTGAGTCCCAATCGCCCCAGAAAAAAGAAGTAGCTCTTGGATGTGGCCTTCTGCTTCGTTTCTGTACTGCATGTTTGGACATGGCACTGGGGGGCTCAGGCAAAAATCAAAAGAAATAACAAAAAGGGAAAAAAACAAAACCAAAGAGTTCCTAGAAATATTTACACCACAGATACAGGCACTTGTATATCTTTGGTTGGAGAACCCCAACATTGCAAGAGTAATGCATTCACAGAGCTTTTGTGTCCCTTATTGTATTTCCAGGGTCCACTAGGCAACTGGTAAGTCGTGTTTTTGTTTTTTTAATTAATTTCTTCTCTTTCTTTAATTTTGTCCATGTTACAGGTAAGTCCTGCCATTCTCTGATGTCTTTTTAACCCTCTGACAACGCCACCTGCAACAAAAGAAACGGATTTCAGTTTCAGTAATTACAGAAATTTATGGTACCAAAATCTGGTGATGTAGCAAAGAGCGGTGAAAGTGTGACAGAGGAAGACAAGAGTCTTGTTTACTTGTCTGTTTACACACAGACGCATTTTGCAAGCATTTAACCCCCCACCCCCACCCCCAGCTGATCGATGCACTTCACTGATGTTTATTTGGGAAACACGACTGGACTTTATCAGCTATTGGTGACTGTTCCAGTGCATCCCCTGTTGTTTTCTGCTGCAATATTTTGAGTGTTTTGTGCTATTTTATTTTGAAAATTTACATCTCAGCATCCTTAAGAAAGTGGTACACAGACACTATCCAATTCTCATCATATCTGTCTCGGGATGCAACTATCCATGGGTTTTTCCCCCCAGTTCTGATATGATACAGATACTCTGGCTTCTTTATCTGTTGATACAGAGAACAGACATGATGCCAGAGTGAAATTAAGTTAACAAATCAAATTAGTAAGCTGGACTTCCTGCTACTCGGAGTATGAACCTTTCCTTTATGTATAAGGCAACATTAGGTTCCCCTTTCACATTGCTTTCCAAACAATAGAAGCTAAATTATCGCTAGCAAATACAATTGAGAAGATAATTTCACTTAACAGGAAGTCATTAGTAAAATAATGACAAAAGGATCACGACAAATAACATGAACTATTTCTGCTACTCAACTCTACTTTTTTGTTGTAGTCTCACTTCCACATGTGAAATAGAAGTGATGACATATAGGGGAACTTTAACAATATTAATAACAACAACAACAACAACAGTAAATAAATTGATAGAAAATGCTTAAGATCCCATAAGTGCAGTAAGGTTTCCCAGCAATTGTTATAGCAAACATAAGCAGTGGGGAAAGTGAGCAAGAGAAGCAAACAGGACAAGCTCTGTGTTAAACCACTGGACCACCAAGAAAAGAAGAAAAAACTGCAAACATGGCGCTGCATTTGTGAAATCCTTCCAAACTGCTGTTTGTTTGCTGTTGTCTTCCCACCAGCAATGAAGGGAAAATAAACAGAGCAAGACTGAACTGAACAATTTTGCCCGCAGGTCAGCACGCTGTCACAGATCAAGCTTTGTAAGTGCAAAACGAGACGGGTGCGCAATCAAAATATCAGGTCCCTATGTGTGAACACCAAGTACAGCAGTGTGGAGAGGTAGCTGTGGATAGTTGATGTTAAGCACCAGTGTAATGGTCATCACTGGTTTAGACCCAAGCTGGGGCTACACCCCGTGCCTGTGTGGGGTTCCTCCAGCTTCCTCCCACAGTGCAAAGACATGGATCTCAAATTATCTGGTGAATCGTCAGTAGATGAGAGGTTGAACAGAACCTTGTATGCTGCATGTATAGTTATGAATGTGTGGTTAAATGTGGCTTATAGTCTCTGTGATCTGAGTGTTCGACATTTATGTGCCTCACAAATTTAAGCTCCAACAATCTAACCTGGAGACGATGCTACATAAACACACATATTCTTTTTCCTTGTGTTTGTTACGTTAGAGACATCAAAGAGTCCATCTGTTTGCTTGCTGGTGGTCTCCACTTCAGAACAAAACACACAGACCAATGAATATGCGGGAAACTGCCAGTTACTGGAGTGCCAGTTTGGGTGTAACCAAGGCAGAGTCATGCAGAGGTAGACACACCAAGAAGACAGACAAACTGCACTCTGTTTGTTTTGCTCCTCCCTTCAATATTTCAAACTAAGAGTCCCAACATGAGCTCTTAGATAAAGAAATCTGCAGCTGTTGCCCCACCTTCCTTATCCAAGCAAACAAAAATAACAGCTATGTTAAAATACACTCTCTCTCAACTGGTGTGAACTCGCTATGTGTATGCGGAAAACAAACTGTGCTACATGCAACGAACAATAAGATCAAGGAGGATGAACTCCCTTCACCTCTGGAAGCGAGATGCAACTACTTCATATACCAGGCACAGTCAAGGATCATTACCATAATGTTCTCCCAGACTTTTACACCAAATCTTACAGCATTCGGACGTCTTTATTATGCTCTCAAGGGAAGCTTAAATATTCTTTCATTTGGTTTGGAGTTTGTAAGGAGTTCATGTGCCAAAACAAACAAACAAAAAGCAGAGATAGCAGGAAATCAGCAGAGTCATTGATTGGAGCGAGTCTTTGACCGATCACTGGTCAGTTGATACTTGACTGAAACTACCTGTTGAAGTCATATAGCACTGCTGGTGTCTGTTGTACCTTCTCAGGACAGAAGTCAGGGTTGGTTTGTCGCACTTTGCCAGGCCGCCCCTTTATGACTGCATAGCAGAACATAGTGATGACCATGACAAACAGGAAGTAGCTAGTGTGCATCAGGTGAAGGTTGATGAGGGAACGGTCGTCCTAGTAAGACAAGCGTTAAGAGACACAGTTTAATGTCACAGAGTAACTTCGGGTTTTATTTCAAGCAGAAGGCTACAAGCTTGATTTCTTTATTGCTCACTGCACAAGTTACCTGTAGTTTTTGGTGAAGGTGGTGCACTAAAAAAATACGTATAATAGTTACTGCATGCATGTGTGTTTTCTCATAACAGCTGCAGCTCCATGTTAAACAGATCAGCCATTTCTCATTAGAAGAGGTCTTAACATGTCTGCAGTTTTCAGGTGTATTCTTCAGCTGCTGCTCATTCTTACTGTGGTGCCTGCGTCAATACCTCAGACAACAGTATGCAATTTTCCTCTGAACTCCACTTTGCGCCCCCTCCTCAAAATGCATCATCAAAAATTCCTACTCTTTAACCCCAACTTTCTTTGGTTGGCTGCCCCTTATAAACAAAAGTTTTGAACCGTCGGGGGGGATTAATGTGCAAAAGACTGATGTGAGAGAGTGTTTATAGCAGTCTGAGGCCTGAGCTTTTGGTTCACATGGATTACTCACACGTACGATAACCTGATTAATCTGAAACTCTGGCGGTATGTAACGTGAGCCTATAACATTGTACCAGTACATATATTGGGGAAAAGCATATTAGGTCCACTCTAATGATAATTTAATTCCAGCCTTGCTGGTACATTTGCAGCTCAAATGCAGCTCACTGTTCCTGGAACAACCTACGCCCATCAGTACAGATCTAAATGCCTTTCAGAATAAACTACAGGTTTAGGAACATTTACCCCTAAATGATCTCTCTGTGTTACAATGGGTTAAAAAAATACTATCAACAAAGTATACCATTCTTATCCTCAGTCATCCTACTTGTTTAAATCATGTGGAAATTACACTAAAAGGATGTATATCACAGAAACTTTGTTTTTTACCTTTACGTATTTAAATGAAATGAGACATAAAGAACCACTGTTGAAATTCAAAAACTGTGAGGAGCTGTGGTGACTCACATCTGGAACAATCACGGTAAGTTTTGGGTTGAGTGCGTGGTACACTTTGCCAATGGCTCCTTTGTAACACCAGAAGGGGTTGTAGTCCTGACTGTACTTGGTATCTGAGTCGCGGACCGTGGTGAACACCTTGTACCAAGATGTGGCATTGGTGTACGTCTCTGGCACGCAGTGTGGTGGCTGCCTGCAAACAAAAACACAGGGGCTTTTGTTAACTGGTGCAGTGGAATTGTTCACACCATATTATAGCAGAGAAACGTACAGATGTTGTTGCTGTTTATCTGCTCTGTATATTTTCTTATGTTTATTTGTGTCAAACAGCCTTATTATGAAAAATTGCTTATTTGAGTGACAACAGATTATCCATCAGGACAGGAAGGAAAACAAATGCAACACACAGATGCCACAGCTGCTGACAGGGGGGGGAAAGCACAAGAGCAGACATATCAAGAGGTTTTGATCAATTTTAAATAATAATTATAGTAATAAATAAGTAAAGTAAAAATTGTGGATAAAAATTTATAACTTCTTAATGTATAATTTCATATTATGCAGTTTACAACTGGGCCACCAGAGGGATCTAAAGCAGTATCCAAGGCAACTGATCCAATGAAACAATATGACTGTCTACAAATAATAATAAAAATACTGCTACTACACTGATAAATGGCATAGTTCAGTAAAACATAACAAACGAAGCTTAATTTGTCTGATGGAGCCTCACTCACACTGCCTCTACACTTTAACAAGACCCACATTTCATCATATTTGCAACATGCAAGGTGATGCAATTTGCACCTTGACTACCTCTTGCTTATCTTGACAGATTCAATTAATCAAATTGAGCGGCATACGTCTGTTCCATGCATGGGCATGCACAAGCCCTGCAAAAATATTTGTGAGTCAATCGTTTGCAAAATGTAACGCTGTACGCTGTAATGCATGTTTCTGTAAAACAAGGCAACGCAGACTTATTGCCTTTACTGAATGATAAACTCCTCAAAGCTGCATTTCATTTAGTCTGCATCAGAAAGCTCAAGACTAATTTAGTGCGCTTGTTCCCTTGAGTTATGGAGGCAGTCCAACTCACACTGTGACTGGGAAGATATTGCTGGCCGCTGTGATGGTCATGCAAGTGCTGAACACCACCTGCTCGCAGTGACCGTGCAGAACACAGTCGTCCGAGTTCCAGGATACGGGCAGAGTAAACGTGATGTTTATTTCTTCATGAGCTTCTCGGCCTACAGGCAAAACAAAGACAACGAGAGCAGCAGATTGTTTTAAACTTTTCACGACAAGATGTCACCAACTCATTTCTTTTACATTTTAATCACAAAGTAATGTTTTTAAGGCAACCTCGTGTTGCATTTCCATGACCCCAAGATCAAGCTAAAAACCTCTGAGCTCTAAAGCGAATATCAGAGGTACGAACAGTCCAAACAGTATGAATGCAATTCCTGCAGCAGGAGGCTCATACCAAGCTACCCCCTGATAACTAATGACAGGCTGATTTTGTAGGCTTATGCAATATTTTTCAAACTGCAAAGGAGATTAGAGGATTATCAGTCAAACTGAGTGGACTCCTGGGTGTGATTTAGGACTGACGTGTTCATCCAGATGGAGGAGACAATAGAGAAAACAAAAGGAATTCTCACTAAGTCCAAAAACTGTTCTACTAGGCAACTCGTGCTTTATAAACTCTAGTTTAAACAGATGAGAAACTTTGATGTACAATGATAAAAATAAGCATTTATACTAAAAAAAAAAATAACCTGTCATAGAACTAATATGCAGCATTTGCATTTGATTTTTCTCTCCAGGTAATACATTTGTTGCCATTCAAATTCAAGATAATGCTGTTCCTGGCTAACAGCTCAGCCAATCACAACTCCGGCACAATAAAATAAAACACAAACTAGGGCCTCTTTATGAAATGTAATTTACAAAATAAGGCTGCAGTATATAATTTTAAACGAGAATCGAGGTGAGACAGTACAGTTCAGATGAGTATATTTTGATGTTATGTTACACAATCGCTTTCATTCAGAAAGTCATGCCAGCGTTTGGATCTCTGCCCTCAAGAAAGACTCAAGCAAACCCCACCCTCCACTTTCCAACAAGAAATAACAGCATAAAGTCTGAGAAAGTTACTCCAACCAGCTGCGTGACAATAATAGTTCATCATTATCCATTAACATCGACAATAACAATAATTTTTGGTTTGTGTAAGCAGGAACTAAATCCCTTTCTTTGAATAGAGAATTGCAGATGACTACTTGTTTTTTAAGGGTGAATTTGAATCTAAAATGACACGTTCAACACTACAGTCAATGACGCAAAGTGACTGAGGCAACAGGAACCTGCAACCAGAAACCTTAAAAGGAGAGAATGGGTCACTCCGAACAGACACAGCAAAACTTGAATCACCGTTATTTATTTTAAATGCAAAATTGATCTTACTGACAATTCAACAGAAGTCTTTGACAATTTTCACCGCCATTCGTCTGTTTCACTCCAGACCTGGCAGGTACTCACACGCACACTGCTGCTTACCCAAATGCAAATTTGTGACAAAGTTCAGTGCTGAGTGTGATGTAGTTTGGATGAGCAGCTCTTATAATTTGGGTAAAAACTGTTATTTGTTGCCAATGTTTCACCTACACTGTCAGAAAACATGCACATACAGGCATGTTTGCTTGACTCTCTTTATGAGAATACTGATTAACATTAATGCATCCCCCAGCCTCTTACAGTTGGACATGTACAAAGTACATTTTCGGTTGTTTTATCATCATTTGTTTTGGTTTCCTGTGATAAAAGACTTAATTCACTCATATAATTAGAACAATCAAAATGCAAGGAAGCCACAATCTTCCCTTTTTCAACAAGCACAATCACAAACACACTCTCTCTTACACACTAATAACAGCCGTTTCCTGATAGCTGTCCTTGTTTAAAAGCAGCGCGTTCTGACTGCATGTGACATTCTGTAAACTGTAGCCATTTCCAAATAACCAGGCTTACACTCTCTCCAAACAAGCTCTGCATTAAAGTAATATAAAAAAATCATTTGACTAAAAACTTTGCCTCAAAGTAATAGAAAAAATTTTAAAAAATGGACTTCATGTGGACATAGTAAATCCTGAACTTTGAAAGTTGGCAACATTAAGCAGAGTCTGTTAGCCAGAAATCTGCCAAGTGTAATGTTTCACACATTTTTTTAACATGCCTTCCTAATTCTAACATGCAGCACCTCAGAAGTGAAGCAGCAAGAAAACACTCATGGTCTTTCAGTGTGTATGAGCACTTTAGACAAAAGGAAAAGGTTGCCTTTTTTTTTTTTTTGCCTGTCCCATTTGGTTCTTTAGCCGTCAGAATTGTTGTCTGAAGACCAACAAGGATACCCAATGGATTTACTTTGCCAAATGGATCATCAAGACCTTGCCGTATTGGTCCATTTGATCAACCTTTGTTGTTATTATTTATTTTATTTTATTTTCAGTTGTTACAGACGGGACAGACCTGACTGAGGGATAGGAAAGGGAGAAAGAAAGATGAAGGAAAAGAAAAACAGAAGGGAAGAGGGACAGTGAGAAAGGGCACTTAAATAGAGAAAGAAGAGAAAACAAATCTCCTGGATCACCTGTTGAGAGAAAAAGAAGAGAAAACAAGCAAAAAAACAGAGCAACATACTAAACACAACACCATCACGTTAATCTAGCTAAGTGTAAACAGCAGTAAACACTAAATATTGAATGCTGTTGTGCAGCATTCCAACTACACCTTTATTGGCTGCTTGGAAATAGCAGCCAATAAAGGTGTAGTTTATGTCTATGAAGAGTGAACACCCGTGTGCACACCTGTGTGAATCAGCGCGCTTGTATTCAAAAGGTTTCCCCATGTAATGGTCTGCTAGAGGATGTAGAGAGCCATAGCCCTGTCCCCCAGGGCATGAAGCAGGCATGGAGGAGATCCAGGCTCCAGACATCCAGAGGCCCCAGAGTGCGAGAGCCCAAGGAGGACCACCGGAGGGGCATCCGTGCCACCCTCCTGGGAAGAGCTGAGGAGAGCCCCAGATGAGGGGTCACCCAGTAGCCACGGAACAGAAGCCAGAGGGGGCTGCAGTGGCGTGCCCGCCGGCTCTGCCGGCAGCCAGCTGTGCCAGAGTGAACCGAGCCGCAGGCCCAGAGGCCGGAGTCCCGAGGGCCCCCTGGAAGAGGCCTGACCGAGCAACAGGCACCAGGCCAAATAGTCACTGGGAGTGAGCTGGTACATACCTGAGCGCCCAGCCCCGGACACCAAGAACCACCAACGCACCGACCCCTGAGGGCATCATCAGGAAAAGTTTGCTAACGCACACTCAGATAAGCCCGCAGACATATTCAGAAGCTTCACAGCATTTTAGGAATTCATGTTTCACTTGGTGGGCTCGCCGGGATCAGCTTAACGTTACACAACACCTCTGCTGTTTGCTCACCATGTTGAAGTAAAGTCACAGCACAGAGAGGTAAAGTAAAAAGCCCAACAGAAGATGCATCTGACATCAGAAAAAGGCAGCCACAACGCAAAAACTCTCCACACTATAGAGAACACACGTTTCTCCCATGATAATTAAAGAAAGCACCTGTCGCATAGCACGAGCAACGAGTGTAGAATTCATCCGAGTTTCCAAACTTGCCTTTCCATGAAAGGGTTCAGAGCAAATGCGGAATTCCTAATTTGTTAGATACAAAGATATCCTCTGCTAAGCAATGCCTGAAAGGCCTGATCACCACCTGTCACATCAAGACTCCTGCACCATTTTAAACAATCGAAACAAATGCTTTTTAATACCTGAAAATTAAGAAATAAGAGAAAATAACACTGATATAAGGTATTATATTTTTGCTGCTTGGTATACAGCTAACTGTAAAATCATCCCAACAGCACAGTATTTAAGGCTCGCCTTCACATGAAATTAAAGCGAATCGCTGAACTTTTGGATGCTGGCCAAACTAAACAAGGAAGTTGAAGATGTATAGTACACTTACAGCCATTTGAGCCACAGCTGACTTAGCTGTATCCTATTGATTTTCGACAAAAGGGTCTGCTTTTTAACCAGTCTTAAAATACCTTATACACATTTAATACCTCTTACAAATTTAGGGGAAAAATAGAGGCAATTAACTCATTCACTGCCATTGACGTCTATAGCCGTCAATTGCAGTGAATGAGTCAATGGGTTTAACTCATTCACTGCCAATGGCTGGCAGTGAATGAGTTAAGAACTTGACCAATTTTGATTTCGAACCTTTAAACGACCCCTAAACACCAACATACTGTTGTGAAACATTGTTTTTAGGCTACTCTACATCTGTATGAGCTGGCGTGTATTAGGCGTACATCTACCACCTGCAGTGGCAAGTAGCAATCTTTCTTCTTCCTTAATCGAAGCTACAAGGCAATTAGACATTGTATGATGACAACATGTGGCATTTTGGAAATATTTCTGGCTATGCAACCTTCATGTATATTAACTGGAATCTTGTGAAAACAGTTTTGTTTTACCGATGTAGATAAACTGGGAAGTAGTTCATCCTACTTTACAAGTCAAACTGACTACAAAGCAATCAAACCTAGCAAAGAAATATGAGAACCTACCTGAGAGGCCTACTTGCTGCCCCAGCACCGTGGCATACAGGTGGGTGATATTGCGAGAATAGCCTCCAAATGGACGCTGAGGGTCCAGCGTGAGGGTGATGGGGACTGAGATGTTAATGGGCCCCGAGTCCTCCAGCAGTAGGGGAACCTGAGTGCTGGAACGAGCCTGGCCGCTAGTAACCACCATGCTCTCCGGCGTGGTCGACTCGTTCAGGCCGTGCTTTATCGTTTCATTCTCTGACACACAAAAGTCCAGCTCATTGAAGCGCAACAGAAAGGTGTTCCAGTCCTGTGAAAACAGTGAATATGTTTTTAACTGCCAGACATGACAACAGAAATTCATGTACAATGTTGCTATTACTGTATGTATTTGTAGACAATATTTAACCTATGTGCAATATTTAGTTTGGTTACAATGCATCCAATTATTTAACTAGAACAACCTTTTTCATTTGCATATGCCTCCTTTCAGATTTACATGCTGCACACTGTGCAGAGAATGTGTATATTATATCATAACTTGTTCCCTCTGCATGCCGAGAGCTAGGGCAGAGCAAGTTGCTTAGTGCAGGTTGTTTGATTGTCAGCTTTATCATCTAAAAGCTACCTGATCAAACTTCATAAATTCTGACTGAGAGATGGTGCATGACCAAAAGAAGAATCCATGAAATGTGCAGGTCCAAATCATTTTCTTTTGAACTGGGCTTGGCAGAGCACCATGTGCTCCAAATGCCCCTTAAATCTGACTCACATCAGAGCCAGGTGAAAAGGGGTCAGATACATATATATCCCACTTTATCCTACAAGAAAGCTGTTCTCAGCCTTACATCCTGTAGTGCAGTTGAAGCATGGTTTTAAATAAAAGAAAAAAAATGCACCCTTTAGTTATAAAGCAGGCAACAAAGGCCACCACCTGACATTCAGCATTAGCAGTGATCACACTTTACCGTTTTAGGACCACATAATTTCATCTACTTCAAAAAACTGCACGGGTGTGCCTTACCTCGGTTAACTCTGGAGACTTGATCTCTTTAATCTTGAAGAAATAACCGATGGTCAGGAAGGCGATGGCCACTGCACTTACACTGATCATAAAAATGACCAGAGGTGGACGGTTGTTGATGTAGCTTCTCAGGTTCTCTATAGGATTTAACAAGTACACCTGCACACAGACAAGCACAGATTAGCTAATATTTAAGTATGAGAGAATGTGTGACTTGCTTTGCATCGAGGTTTGCACTAAGAGACAAACCCAACTTAAATGACTGATACAAGACATATGAGCATACGTTTCACTCACGATGACAAAGTGATGCATTAAATTCTTTAAACACAGCATTAGCAGTGATCAAAGTTTCAAATTAAGAAAAAAAAAATACGTTTGCTTTAGAGTCCAGTTTAAGATTGTGCACAGACTAAACAGCAACAAATATGCTGGGCTCACACTTAAATCTACCTTTAAAAATTATGCTTCAGAGTTACTCTGCACCATACAATTACATTGTCTGAAATTTAAGCAAATGAGGCCATCTCTGGCAGACAGTTTGCCACCAGAGTCATCACTAGTGAAGCATTCTAGGCAAACCACATTTAGATGATCTGTCTTGTATTAAAACCAGATTCTTTGATCCCCATGATAGAACAGAGAAAACCCGACTCATAGTGGTCAAAACATTTATAATTCTTTATTCAATCATCCTCCAGAAGAGAGAGAGCCCTGCACAGCCCAACGGCAGTTGCAGGATCTCTAACATTAGAATCTAAGAATGTCTCACATATAGGTGTTATTTAGGTACTTTACACATCACACATAGGGAAGCATAGGGAAGTGAATACTTAAATTACCAGTTGTAATAAAGTAATGTGCTACATATTTCAACCAATTTCAAACATGCCAACTCTGCAATCACACTTAACTTATGGTTATGGTTTATTGTGTATCTTGTTGTACAACTGTGCATCATATAAATACTGCGTATCATCAGCATGAAATAACACTAAAAAAAATTATTCAGCATTGTATCTGGTTAAGACCCACTGATACAGTTCATCATATTCGGATAATAAACTAAGACGGAATTAATGTTGTTAAATGACACCGGAGTCAAATCAGACTGGTATACACAAATTGCCCACAGGTTCTTCGAAAACGGCACTTAACTGGTTCAGCAAGTTGCTTTGGCTGTGGAATTATTTAAACAGGACATTTAGCAGCAGAGCTACCTTTAAAAAAAATAAAAAATCCTCTCACTCAATCAAATAAAACTTTGAAAATTGCACTGATGCTTTGGAACAGAGTATATATATATATATATATATATATATATATATATACACACACACACACATATATATACACACACACATAGTCAGATGGAACTATGCAGGCAATATGCTCACGGCCTTTGACATGATGTTTACCACGATGAGGAACTAAGATAAACCGTTGGCTCAAATAATTACAGCACCTCTACATCATTCAAGGATCCCGTGTGAGCTTTTTATGCATGTTTATTGAACTCATTGCCCTGTACCGAGTGTGCAGTACAGTAAGCAAGGACATTTCCGCGTATTTGCTGGAGCCATGTGACTTTATCTTTCTCTAAAGTTGTCAAAACATCCAACTGTATACTGAAATATTTCAAAGAATTAATGCAAAATGTTGATGCAACAGAATTGGGAAGATAGTGTGAACATCTAATTCTACAATTAACGCCCTACCAGAAGAAACCGTCGATATTATGACAGGAAATCGTTTAAAACTGCAGACGTGCGTTAATTCAGCCCTGTGTTTAAACGACAGGCAGGTGACAAGCTCTCGGTAACATACTACGACTCGGGTCGCTAGCTACCTCGACAAAGTGACAAAGCTGGCTAAATTAGATGGAAAGCACGCACAAGCTGTCCTTACCATTTTTCCCGTGTGTTCCTCTGACGGATGCTAGCTGGAAGGTTCGTTTCGGTATCACAATAACAAGGCAGCTAGCTCTCTGCGAAGCTAGCCTGTGCTGCTAGCTTACTCGCTTTCCTGAAGCTAGTCCCTGCTGAATATCCCGCGGAACAGCAAAAATCGGTGTTCGCTTGAGACAGCCGGGCTTTCAGCACACCAAACACCGTGTGTACTGCTTCCCATTCTTTGCTCTATAGCTCACCGCTGCACTAATGAGAAGTATTTTTTCTCGTACAGCCTGGAACAACGTCAATGTCTCCGGGTCCTCCCTCTGCCGACATATCGTCCGCGCCCCCGCACTGCGTAGTAAAAACGTCGCACCGCACCGCCGCCGTCGCGTTATTTTCATAGAACCTGCGCCTGAAAATAGACGTCAGTACGTCGGTGATGCACAGGCTTACGTAATTTACGTAGAGTACAAGCGATTCAGCACAAATCATTAGAGCTTTTTTGCAGCGTTAAGGTACCATAGGAAACGAAAGGTTTGAAACGGAACGTCTGACGTTTTCTTTTTTCTTCTTTCTTTTGTCATGTTTCCAAATGTCCCATTGTAAAGTGTTGAAAAGTCGTAAAAAACTGATCCGTTATTTATGTTATGTATTTACGAAAACCAAATAATAAACCATCAAGAAAATAGCTTGTTCCAACTCAGGCATCAAAGGTACACCTTTAGTAAGATATTTTATTGGCGTCTGTCATGCAAATTGGTACAACTAATACTCTAAAACCTGAAAAAGTCAATATTAATATTGTTTAACTTATATTACCATCAAAATAAGCCCTACTTTTTAATAGACACACATTTTGCTTTGTTCTTTTTTAAAAAAAAGTTTTCAGCACTTATTTTCAAATCTTTGCTCAAATACACTATTGTGGGCTAATAAAAACATTTAACTGTTACGGTAACAGGGCTAAAATTAGAGTAACGGGGTTGCACAAGATAACAGGTTGAATTGATATATTTCATTTTAGATGTAGAGTCGTGGCATATAACAAATAAATACTCAGAAAAGCAGAATGTTTTATTTTTGTTGGGGGGTTTTTATGTTTGATTTAAGCTGGGAAGCCTCCAAGCCCTCGCCTCACGCTACGCTGAAAAGGATAAACAGAAGAGAATGTTTGATTTATATGTTCGGTCTACCTTTGACTTTTTAAAATATGTTGAACAGTGGTTCAACAATCAGACACAAAATCAGAATAAAAACGTGGATTTATAACTTATTTGAATAATAACATTTGAAATACAATTTAGTGATCCCGAAGCTGGAACAAGAGAAAATAGTTTTAAGAGACATTTTGCATTTTAATTAATATTTTGTATAATTACACCTGTCTCAGGACAGGTGTCATTTACACACCAAATATATGTTTTAGTATTTTCTGCATGGATTAGTCTTAAATTCGTGCCTGGACAGAAAATATACTGCCTCCTGCTGTTCAGCCTTAGGCGCAGCAGAGGTCGCTAAAGGATTAGAAACTCCTGTTTCTAGCCAAAACAAGCTTTTCAGTTTTCGCAAATATGGCAAATGCAGTTGGCCAGAACTGAAATAAATCGCTTTTTTACATGCTTTCGTTTATCTTACAGCAAAGTCAAGTTTGCCCATAAAGCGCTACTGTTTTGCTAAAGCAGTTGATCCTGTAAAGGATTTACGACAAGGTAAACTCGTTGATGGCACACGTTGAGAAGCGATGGAGGTTACAAACGGTGTTAAACCAAAAGACGAACTTGCACATGTGTATTTTTTTATTTTATTTTTATTTTTTTTAAAGCGGCTGGTGCTTGAAAAATGACTGCTACCAGAAGCCTGTTGCTGAATGGATCTTTTCCCCATAACTGCAGTGTGCAGCCTATCAACTCAGCAACTACTCCAGAAATTACACATCATTTCCATAAACAGGGAACATTGACCTAGGCCTCTAAACACAACTTCTCAACACACAGATCTTACATATGGAACAATAAAGTTATTCAACTAAAACACAAAATTATTTTAATCCAGAAATGGATCATCTACAATGATGTCATCCAAGTTCGAAGATAGAATCAGAATCAGAAAGGGTTTTATTGCCAAATGTTGAGCAGGTTTACAACATTAGGAAATTGCTTAGTGCAAACATAGTCAGACAACGCTTACATAAACATAAAAATAAAAATTAAAAGTGCTAAGTAGATAGATATATACATGAGTGCAGGTGGTGATCAGTGCAAACATGGAATGATGCAGTGAACACAGCGTAGGGTCATGTGTTAGTGGTGGGAACAGTCATACGGTTATTGTTCATGAGTCCAACAGCAGAGGGGAAGAAACTGTTCTTATGGCGAGAGGTTCTGGTGCGAATGGACCGGAGCCTCCTGCCTGAGGAGAGCAGGTCAAACAGACTGTGTCCAGGGTGAGAAGGGTCAGCTCTGATCCGAGCTGCACGCCCCAGTGTCCTGGAGGTGTACAGGTCCTGCAGAGATGGGAGTCTGCAGCCAATCACCTTCTCAGCAGAGCACACAACACGCTGCAGCCTCTGATTGTCCCTGACAACCATACGGTGATGGAGGAGGTGAGGATGGACTCGATGATTGCAGTGTAGAATTGCATCATCGTCCGTGTTGGCAGGTTGAATTTCTTCAGCTGCCTCAGGAAGTACATCCTCTGCTGGGCTTTCTTTATGACGGAGGTGATGGTGGGCTCCCACTTCAGGTCCTGGGTGATGGTGGTACCCAGGAAGCGGAATGAGTCCACAGAGGTGATGGGGGTGTCAGTCAGGATGATGGGGGGGGGGGGGGCTGTGTGCTTCCTGAAGTCCACAGTCCATAGGTTGTTATAGAACATGGACCAGACATATCAGACAAATACTGCATTGTGACTGAAATGATAATAATAATAATACTTTAAAATAGCAATAGTAATTTAAAGCCTGGGAAGGTTTAAACTGAATATTGATTATTTCTGTGATTTAAATAAATAAACTATTTCTCATTTATTTTGTTAGTATATGTATTCCAAAATATGCGGGATTAATGTGCAAAAGTTTTTAATTAAAAAAACAAAGCAAAAAACAGGTAAAATGCCCATGTTTTGTGATACAGCTGTTTTATTTTGTGAACATTTGTTTTCTAGCGAAGTTTCTGATAATTCTGGGGACGTTTCATGTACGAAAAATAAAATTAATTAAAAAAATGTTGGTATATTTTTAATGGATATCATTCTTTAGTTTTAGCATAGATGAGATTCGAAAACTAAAACAGCGGCAACGACCCTAACAGTACTTGATATGTATAAAATTATTGACTAATCAAAGCAAATCGAATGCAGAAGAAACTTTGGTGCGATCTCTATCACAGTTTCCAAATATTATTATGTAATTTTTACTCTTTACCTCTCATTATTCTCTCATTATTACGTTTCAACTGTTCCCTGGAACTTTATTTACCTCTTTTTGAATGTAACTTTGGTAATATACTGTCATTGTTATTGATACGTTGCTGTTTATATTTGTTTAAATAAAGTTTTTGGAAAGGAAAAAAAGGCTGCAGCCCATGCTTCTTAGCCTACACACTAGCCCCTTTAGGATTGCTAGTTGTGTCAAGTTAATCGGGGTTAAGCAGAGAGTTTCCGGAAATGGTTGGTTGTCTTTTAAAATAAAGCGCGAAGTTTCCTTTTGGACACAAATTAGGGCACCTCTTACTATTTTTGTAAGAGGACGGTTTCTTGCAATTAGTACAACGGAGTTACATACGAGTCGTAAATAGTCGGAACTGTACGACTACAGATTTCAGTACTTTTATTTTTGCGGAGCCAAACCGGAAAGGCTTTGCATATTTAAATTGCAATTACGCTGACTTAACGTCGCTGGGCTGTTGGCTAACAACAATGAGGAGTGCTAGCAGTTTAAAGCGTCCTATTACCGTTTACTCGGCTTCTCTAAGGTACAGTACATAAACACGTGTAGCACTTTTAGTAGCATGTTAAAGTATTTGTGATAACTGGTGTGCAGTCTATTAAGTCGACGTGATAATTTCCTTCGAGCGTAGAACAAAGTGAGCATTGCTAATGCTAACGTTAGTGAGCATATCCACTTGCCTTCGTGTCAGCAAACTTACACGTCGGATGTTTTGGAGGTGCGCTTAACGTTAACATTTAAAAATGCACGTTTGTGTAACTGAATAGGCACGCTGTTTTTTTCTTTCTTTCAAATATGCGTAAATATTAAAATAAGTCAACGTGTACTTTGTGTCTTTTCCAAAATCCTTTATTAGCCTTGAACTGAAAACATTGTGTTGCATTAAAGTCACTACAGTAAAGAATAAACAAGATAGAAAAACTGTCCAGTGACACTCTAGAGCACTTTGATAGATCTGTGTTCGTTAATCCTTTAAATTTTAGCTGTTTGCCATTATTCCAAAGCTTATATATGACATGTAATAGTCTTTTACTTTTTTTGTTCTGTCCATCAGGGTAATCCGTGTGCTCTTTTGTTTTTTGTAGATTTGTGTTAGAGAATTGTAAGGTCATGTTTGTATGCATGGAGCATCCTGACCTTTTCCTCCTTTACTGCCTACTGAAATCTGTGTAATTTATCGTCGAAATGTAGGGCTTTTTTTTTTTTTTTTAACTTAAAAACTCTGAATGGAGCCACAGAAGATATTGGAGCCTTATAAAGAAGGCTACACAGCCCATTACTATAAGTCAGCCTATCAACGTTACTAATAGGTGGAGGAAACAAAATTCTTTTCCCACATGCGGCTACTCTGCTGCAGCCTAGTTATGCTTATCTGGAACTGTTAGTATTTTCATTATGATAATGCCATTTGTATATAATTTTTGTAAGTATTATTTTTTTAATCTACCGGTATTTATTTTATTACCAACAAAAAATTTTGAAATGCAAAAGTAGCCTATTTTGACAATAAATAAAACGTATAACAACACAATAGCTTTAAAAGTAGTAAAACAAACAAAAAACGACCAGTCTAAGTTTCATTTTGTGGGCTTTTTTTGTTTGTTTTTCTGTTTGTTTTTTGGATTCGTAGTCCATTTCTTCAGGGATTGCTAATTGTTTTGTCAAAGCCACCTGGAGCCACAAGAGCGGGATCAAAGAGACTCATGTGGCTCCAGAGTCGCACTGATTTAGGTCAGCATTGCATGAAATAACTCAGTTGTGTCGTTAAAAACATTTTTATATGAATTTTATGTAAGTGCTGAAATATTACAAATAATGTTTTGTCATACTGGCCCTACTAGCTTTCCATTTATCATTAATATTTTGGATTATACAACTATAAATTGTATTAAATTGCCTTAAAAAGGGATCCAATGT